GAAAATGAAAATGAAAATGAAAATGAAATAAAATATTCAAACAGTGAAAATATATTACTCAAGTGAATAAAGCTGTAGCACAATTTCATCATTTAAAAACAGTGATTCAATAAACCACAGTGGATATCTTTTTCATTTGTTCTTTTTATGTTTTTTAAATATGAAGGTGAGGGGAAGATGGTTTAAGTTTTATATGTATACTGATAAACCTAATTGTTAATAGGTTCCAGGGAATGGAGAGAATTTAAACTGTTTTATACTCCGAATTTTTGAAGCTAGAATTAAAAAAGTATAATTACTAATTGTCCACTTAAAGGTTATTTGAATATAGTTAGGGTACTGAATATTGAATTTCTATAAAGTATAAGCTGTAGAAAAAAACATATATAAATTTATTCTGATGTGATTTCTAATAATAGATTAATACATTAGAACTACAAATGGAAGAAAATCATTTAAAGTTTTCCCTATTTGTCCTTAAAGAATGAATATTTTTTGAGACAAAGCAAACTTGTGGTTGACCAGCAAATGGATCTTTAGATTTAAATGTCTTATATATGGATTGTTTGTGAACCATCAAGTTAATGTGAACTCTTAATGACCACATAAACCAATAATGGTTGGTTTGCCACAAAGGAATCTCATACTGATATATAATTAATAAGCAAGGGCAAACTGGGCTACGTTTTGCAAAGAAATCAGTGACTTGCCCATGGTACTATAAATGTGGAACAAAGGGAGCCAAAACTAGCTTCCAAAACTAAAGAAGTCCCACACTTGAAAGCAAAATTGGTGGCTGGAATTCTTGTATTCTCACTTTAACATTTTTCTTAATACAAATTACTAATCCAGCTTTAGAGATAACTTATTCCCTTGCTGTTTTTCTATTATCATAATTTTTTTGTAGTTATAATTGTTACTAGGGTGATTTGACTTTTGTGTTTCTAATTCAGTTTTCAGCCAAAAATTATCAGCTGTAGAATGAAAATTCCATCTAGAAGTTGAAGTGTTTGTTAACAGTTTAGAAACTCAGAAGCAGCAGCAGAATTTTGTAGCCAACGAGGGAGACTGACAACTGGCAAAAATTCCAGGGCTTCAGATGGCTGAAGGAGGATGCATATGAATGTGAGAAACACAAATCTTCCTTTAAAAGTGACTGACTTACAAATGTGTAAATATAGCACAGGGATCTTTATCAGGTACCTCAAATCTGGGATTGACTACTGTACTTTTCAAAATAGATATAACAACCCTTTTAGGCAGTTATTTGGTGTCATGAATGCCAAAATAATAGTTATTACTGTATTTCTATTTACAGTAATAGTGAAAGTCATTTGAATGGATAACCTTAGTCGTCTAGAGAGCATAAAAGTGTATTCCAACATTGTGGAAACTGATTGTCTCACAGCAATTAGGGAAAAGACCAAGGGTAGCTGGTATTGATTAACTGGTTGCTTTTGCATTTATATTAGAGCTGTTTGAGATAGATAACAAAATGCTTTGATGTGGGTGTATGCAAATAGTAAGGACCATCACTGTGTTCACACTATGAGCTCTTAACAGGTGAACAGTAATAGACAGATTCTGTTTTTAAAGTCAATTCTGATTGCAAAGCAGACATTCAGTAGGGTTTCCCTTGCAAATCAAAGATACTCCCACATTGTTGATAGAAGGAAAAAGGCAAATGAGTTTACTGAAATGGTGCTAGAGAGACAGTCTGAGAGGGTATTTGCCACATGGACTTTTCCTCCTTCCAAGTTCCAATTGTCCTCTGGTTTGTTATGTCTGGAAATCCGGCAAAATTTCAGATACTCTCTTTCTTAGCTTTTCTAGTCTTTCTTCTTTTTTTCTTTCGTCTTTCATCTGAGCTGGATACTCTTGCCAGGCTCTGAATGCAAGTAGTATCATTCTCCTGTATCACACAATGTTTACAAGAGGGAAAATGGCAGTAGAATTGTAAGCAGGCATGCATATGTTTATTAAAACTTTTAAAACATTGTTCCCATACTTAATAAACAGCTTTAAAATATGCTATTATGTTAAGGCAGAGATGATTATGAAACAATGTACTATTTCCTCCTTAGTTTTCAGGAACATGTCAGCTTATTGGATAGGGAATTTCCATATAGAAAAGAGATGCTAAATGTCCCTAGTCTCTAGACCAGGGCTGTCAAACTCCTGGCCAATGGGCTGGATGCATCACATGCTAGCCACGCTTACGCCCAGTTTAGCAAAGGGGGAAAAAGTCCCAATACGTCACGTAATGCAGCCGTGCGTGACAATGTGAGTTTGACACCCCTGCTCTAGACAAATGTAAGGGAAACATTGCTGTGCTCAGAAACCACAGTATCTCAATATTTATAATTATTAGATACTGAAAGTTTTTCCCTGTCTATGTAGAGAACTAGTTGCCAAGATTTTATGTCGGAAAGGGTATCTCAAACATAACAATTGTTTCATTTTCATGAAAGTGAAGTGAATATTTGTGAAGGGCCTATGTAATCCAGCATTCTGTATTATACCTCACAGACAGGGACAAGAGGGCAGTAACTACATTTACTCTAGAAAAACAGGTATTTAAATAGTTAAATATCATCAGAAAAGTTTTCTTCTTACTTTGTTCATCATTCTTAATAAGTGGAATATATTGCTAATAGTTTTTAATTATTAGGTTGCATTTCTTCCCAAAAAATATATAAATCCCACACCTTTGTATCCCTGTGAGGTAAATTAAACAGAGAATGAGCTTTGTGGCTACGTGAGGATGTGATTCTCTCAACTCACTTTATCACTAATCAATCATATTGCCTTCCAAAAGACCTTTATGCAGAGATGCTTCTTTTCTATTTATAACTTTTATTTGTGGCTTTTTAAAACTAAGTGATACACTCAAATAGACTGAGAAATACATTTAGTATTCTCTGTGGTTTGGTCTGAAAAGTCCCAGAGTCCTCTTCCTTTTTAATTCAACAGATTTAAAAGAAAAGGATTTGGAATCTTGTCTATATTTTGTAATATAATTTTCTCCATGAATAGTAAGATTCTGATTTTATTCAGTCTAAAATAAGGCTGGTCTGTTTAGCATAGAGCAAAGCCCATATATTAGTACAAAGATCTATCATTAGACACATATTTAGTCATTAAACATACTGTCTTCAAACAGAAATGGGCCTTGTAAATAATGCAAGACAAATTTTGATAAATCTCAGTACTTTACAAGAAAAAGCTGAATACAGTAGAGTTTGAGTAATCAACTTTTTTAAAAATAAAATCTATTTACCTGTAATTTTCACACGAGAGAGTGAATGACAATATCTGCCTGGCCTTTTCTTGAATTGGAAATTATCAGAGTCAAACCTGAGACATCCAGATAATTTAAAGCTAGAGGTCAGTTCAGAAATTTTAAAAAACAGAATAACCATAGTTCAGGATTAGTTCAGAAATTTAAAAACACTCCAGAAAGCAATAGTGGCATGAACTAGAGTTATTCTGTTTTTAACATTTCTGAACTAACCCAGAACTACATTTATTCTTTGCAAAAAAAAAAAAAGGACCATAGGTGTTCCACTAAAAGAAACTAAATGTTATGTATAACTCTAAGGTAACTTTATTTATTTTTTACAGAAAGACTTGTTTAGAATTTTTTTTCTATGATGATAAATGAATATGGAGTTTCAAAATGAAGTGTTGATACATAAAATGGATTGAAATTAAGTTTATTAAAACTTAATCTCTCCTCCCCTCCTGGTACTGGGTTGATTATTTTCTCTTCCAAATTTATTCAATGGCTGATGATTCTCAGTGTCTGCATCAAATGACAAGAAGATAGACATATGCTAGTGCTAGAGCTGCAATTCTACATTGTGTAATGTAGAAGTTAAAGTTCTAAAACATTGAATTTAGCAAAGGCTACCTTTGAATAATATTGTATTGTTAGGAGTATTAGCTTTCTTTAGAGCAAAAGAGGGCTGAACAGTAAGCAATAAGAGGCCAACAGCCCAAGCACATTACTAGAAGAAGGGAAGAACCAGATTTTCAATCTAGTATGGTTCATTCTATTTAGTGGTATAGTTATATAGCTGGTTTGTACACAAAGTTAAGTTTAACATACAAGTTGCATCTAAATTACATATCCTAGAAGCATTATTTGCATCATTTCCCAGGACAAAGAAGTATAAAAAATGCATGCAGGCATGCACACAATGTCCAGATGATTCCAAAGGAACCTAAAAAACAAGGAACATTCTGTAGAATTCTTGCAATAAATACAACCTAAAAGAAAATGCCTTTGATATATTCATTTTTACCTATTAAAGTATTCATCTGCAGTCTTTTGTTTTGCCCACAATATACTTTTCTCCTCGTTTACCAAATCAAACCAAGAGCCAAATAACTTCTTCTTTAGGGTAGTTTCATGGACTTTGCTTGCACGCTCTTCAAGAGTAAGTCTGTAATCCTTATACTGAAAGAAGTCCAACAAAAGGAAAAAGATGTCATTCAATTACTTTATGTTTACATTTTACATAACAATATAGCAACAGAAGTAGGTGGAAGAAACAAAATATTCTACTGCATGCATCAAAGGAAAAAACCCTCACAATGCACAAATGTGAATGTATAATTCATGTGGTGTAATACACAAAAATTATGCTTTATGCACACTCCCTCTTCATTACTCCAAACTCTTGGCCTCCAGTCTACAGGACATGAAATTAATTTTGAAGGAACCAAATTAATCTCCAAAACTNAAAATGAAGACAAGTATTTAATGAGCACTTTAGATTCTACCTTTTTCTAAATCATGTTACTGTAATATCATATTTCCCCTTTGTTTCTTGAAGGATTAACAACTGTGTTGGAGAACAGAACCATCAAGCTTTTGTCCTTGCCCTCTTCCTTTTTCTAGTCACTTCAATGTATGGAATTTCTTTGACTTTGGATACCATTTGTAGGGGGAAAAACACCCTCAGTGCTCTGTTCTACTGTCCTGGTGTCTATGGAGAATACAGGTGAGAGAATGCTCACTAACTTGATAGGTTCAAGTCAAGATAATCCCTAGAAGAAAATTGTGGGAATTCTATTTTTTTTTTAGTCTATGTAATAGTTTTATTTGCTCGTTTACATGAGAAATTTTGCACTTTCATAAGGAAAATGTAATTGCTTTCCAATGTGATGCATTGGGAGCTTAATGTTACACACACTTCCGTGGAGGAAATTTCCATCATCTCAAATGTCCTGGGTTCTTTTTGTCTGCTAGTGAGAGTTCTCATACTTTATTCTTTCTTGTCTTTTTTAATTGAAAAGAGAATAATTCTGTAACTTTGCTTATATGGGGTGTGCTTACTTTTTAAATAATCTGTGTTGGGTTAAAATCTTGAGTTTATTTCAGTTATTTCTGGAGAAAAAAGTTAAACCATTTATTTGCAGTTATTTAATTCTATCTTTCCTCCCTAAAATAGTCATAGACATGTGTGCTAAAAAGAGTAAAATGATATTCACAAAAAGTAACCGGCAATAACATTAATAGGCCATCTAGCAAGTAACAGTTGCATACCAAAGGACTGAAGTATCCTTCTAGATCAGCTTTATACTAAAAAAGGGGAAACAAACACATCACCTGGGGGAGAAGTGATTGGGTGGCAGATTGGGTTCCATCTTGTATGTTGTTAGAATAAGGATATCCATTCTATTCCCATATTTAATCTAACAAATTAGTATCAGATGCTTTACAATTGCACAGCTTACTTGCTATTGTAGTTTACCAGAAATAGGAGAATGCTCCAGACTAGCAATGGGAAATTATTTTTGTTCATTAACTTTTGTATTAATCGTGCCTTTCTATTCCTCATTTAGTTCAGCCCTGACCTTCACCTGTGTATGGTATTGCGCCATTGTAACTTCTGGTATGAGCTACATCCTTTTTCTTCAGCTCTTGAATATCAGCTATAACATGACTGAGAGGGAAGCTCGCATTGCATTACGGGAGAATACTGGAAGGAGAATGTTATGGGGCATGATGGTTGACACGGGCCAATATAATCAAGGTTTTCTGTACAATTGGATCCAGTTTTTCACCTTGCGCTCATCTGATCTGCAGCAGTCTGCTGAAGATGTCGTATGAAGGAGTTTTTAATTTATTAACTTAACTTAACTTATCATGTATCTAAAGGCATTCTGGGAAAATAGCTCTCATCTCTTGCAAATGAAGACTGGAGCACAAAGATCCTTTAAAGCCATACAGCAAACTGCAATACCACTTTCTCAAAAACATGCACATACCAAATGTTTTGTAGGAAGACCTTGGTATGATTGAGACGGTTTATATTCTTCACGCCATACCTATTAGTGTCAGGTGAGGAAACGGAAATATAAAAACAACCATCACAAGTGAAAGAAGCAGAGACTTCCCTGTTGAGGTTAATGTGACCTTGAGGTTTTAGCATTTCCTTGAAGGCAGCTCATACTTTTTGTTCTCGGCTCATTCTGTGGCATATATGGATATATCAATCAGGTGGTCAGAGTATTATGCTGGGAAGTTATAGATTGTTTCTTTATATGTAGAGTAGCACCCCCAGGTACACCTCCCAGGAAAGATTCAAGAAATTTGACTCTAAAGAGGAGCATTTATTGTGAAGGCAAGGGTATTCAACTCAGAAGAGTTTCATACCACAATCATACCACAATGTCAGTTATGAATTAGATACAGTATAATAG